ATGTCATTTCCAGTATTTTCAGAACGTGATATGGATCATTCTTGAAACATACAATCGCGATGTTATTATACGTATGTCGATGTGATGAATATGCTGTGACAGGAATTAAAATGAGAAATGGTCATATAAATTAAAATTACATTCATTGTAAGATATAAATGATTTATATAACTATTAAACTATAACTATTTGATTTATTAATTATTAAAATAAAAAGTGAAACTTTTTTCAATTTATTATTAAAGGATACAAATTTACTCGGTGAACAAAATTACTTGGATCTTACTCTCTTTAGCCACATATACTCTATTCTACTAAGGAACTTGGCGACTTCTCGCCGAGGCTTAAAGGAAACAACAACAGAAGAAGGGTAAAAATAACCTTTTATTATTATCAACTATGAACAGAAAGGCACGTACTTCGTGATTTACAATAACACCGACAACTTGCGGTGAAACTTAAGAATCATTGCACAATCAATTCAAAAAGGTAAAGAGCAGTGTTGAAATAGCACTTTTAGGTTAAGGCTAACTAGATTGACGCGACAATCTACCCAGCGTGATACTTATTTAAAGAGCCAAAAAAGGCATATCAGCAAACTCCGTTGTAACGGCAAATATAGATTCGTAACGTGAGCTGGCTAGCGAAAACATGCTCTGAATAAACTCCAAGATTTACCCTTTTAAATGCTCACTTAACTTTAAATTTGCATCCTGGCGAGAAAATGCGAGGTCAAGTTGAGGAATTCTTAAAAGATAACAAAAGTTTAAGAAATTAATTGAACTAAGAGAAACCCTGCAAGGAATCATAATCTCTAATCACACTGACGAAAATGTTTGGAGAACTGGAAAGCCGTCTGGGCGGATGCTACGCACTTACCTGGGTTGCTGCATGTATACTTTTTTGGCAATAAGGTGCTTTGCCTCATCAGTATATTTTTGAGGCTTTTTAATGGGTTTGCAGATGATCAAAGAGTACCATTTGGCCTTATAAATTGCATACAGAATTTTACTTATTGTATATACAGGAATATTAATTTGAAATATGAAATAAAATTTATTGCTGCTTCATAGTTCAGTATGCAATATAAATGTGAGATAATTATAAATAGAAAGATGGAATTTTTAATGGAAATTATTTTTCCTTTCCGTATTCTATGCTACTAAAAGTACGTTAAGATATTGCAAAATGTACAGGATATCTCTGAATTCATGGGCAGAACTTTAAGTGTAGGTAAAATACATATAAGGGAGCATTTTTTGAATAGCAGTGTGGGGTCGGAAATAAAAAGTGTAGGCGGAAAAAAACAAGAAATGTTGAAGAAATAAAAAAAAGGCATTTTATTTACATATTATTACAGTAATTGTTGAAACGTCCGACGACCAATAGTGACAAAGCCCTGGAAGTGCCGATTCAATAATAGGTATACACTATGGCCAGTAGAAGGCAGTGTCACAAACAATTACGCTGTTTTTGTAAAAGACTTTCAGAACAGACGATATGTAAGTTTAGTTACGCAGTTTACAAAAAAATAAATTTTTGGGAAGAAAATATTAAACATGGAGGCTTATTTAGCTTGCATTATCAAATCGTCTGCAAAATAATTTTATTGAATTTGAATGGCATTACGCGGGCTTCAAACAATTCTTTGCTGGTAGAACATTTTGTGCGTGAGGGAGCAATTTACGCTGTCTGACAAAGCAGATGTGCATTTTATATATGGAGCTGCGAGCTGTAACGGAAGAGAGGATTAAGGTTGTACCTTGAACGTTTCCCAATAGGACAAAGTCGTATTGTAAAATGTCTCTGCGTTTACGCAGCAAGCTTTGCGATAGCGGTTCATTTCAGGTAAGAACCCGGATGCCGGTCGCCCGAGATCTGTACGATTTCCAGAAATTAAAGAAAGTATTTTGAGAGAGGTTGAAGATAATCCAAGTACTAGCACAAGATCGACTGCACGAGCTACAGGCTTGAGTAAAAACACCGTACGGAAAATTTTGCACGAGGGAAGACCTTTTTCCATACCACTTACAAGAGAGCACAAGCACTAAGAGCAGCTGATTATACTCAACACGTATATATCAATCGTTGGTTTTTGCAAAAGAGTACATCCACTCCGAGCTTCCCTGAAAATGTGCTTTATACAGATGAGGCCACGCTTTTACGCTAGACAGAGTTCTTAATTTGTAGAATTCCCATGCGTGGGCTACCTCTCATCCGCAAGCTACACATCCGCAGGCTTTCTAGGGACAGTTCTCTATTAATGTGTAGGCGGCGGGTATTGTGAAAGATTTTTTTATTGGCCCATACTTGCTACCACATCGACTCGATGGCACGATATATCGGATCCTTCTGGAACAGATATTTTCGATGGATTTTAAGAGGTGGACTAGTTGCTATGCCAGCACGTTCACCAGATTTATCTAGTATCAATATTTTCTTATGGGGACACATCAAGGCACTCGTCTATGAGACTCTGAAGAGAAACTCATCACAAAACTTTCAGTCGCTGCTGCAACTATTTGTAAAACACCCGCCATCTTCGAAAGGGTACGCCAATCACTTTGTAAAGTATATTTTAATTTTATAACAGTTATTTTAATTTAATTGTGCTTTCCTATTTTGCCTCATTTCAACTTACAACTCCCTATCAGAATGAGTTTTTAGAACGTGTTGAATGAAAACGAGTAAGAAATAGTATTTAAGGAAAGTTCAGCTTACATCGAGGAAAGAGAGCTAGGAATCCTGAGCAGCGCGCGCTTGCCTTTCGGCTAAGTGTCTCTAAGCTGCTGTTACTTTCGGCCGTATATTACGTGCCTTTTGATAATTTGCCGGCTAGTTTATATTACGGGTCAACTACATTAGAATTGTGTTAGCTTCGACTAAATCTCTTAGTTAGATATAGTTAGTTCTTATTTCTTATTTTTGAGTTTAAGCCTGAGTGGAGGCTTTTTTGTAAGTCCGAAGAGGAGCCGACTCTTTTGTAACAGCCGCTTGTTCATCTTATTTTAAGTGAATAAAGGGTAATTAATCCTTCTTGAGTTTACGATTTCTGTAATTTTGAACTAAGCGATAATTCGCTTTACAGTTCACTAGGTTCCTCGACATTTAATTTAGCAGAATAAAAGTGAGGAATTCTACAACTTGCTAGACATCATCAATCCATATGGATATTGATGGTGGTACATTTGAGCACTTACTGTAATATATAAATTAAGAGCTTTTTTTCATTTCCTCAGCATTTTTTGTTTTTCTGCCTACACTTTTCATTTTCGACTCAACGTTGCTATAAAAATGCTTCTTTACCTGTATTTTACGTACCGTAAAATTTGGCCCACGAATTCAGGAACACCCTGTATATTCGTTTAGAGGTTTTTAATTACTTTTTTTATTTTTATTACAGATAAAATGGGAAATATAACATAACACACAGGACTTGAACATTAAAAATGCCGAAAAGCACACAGATTTATTGCATATATATTTCTAAATTATGTTATTATAACTATTTCAGTATAGAAAATTCTAAAATAATTAAATGTGCTTATCACATTAACATAAGTCAGAGCTTCAAATATACTGATAAATATGTTTAGTTTAGCACTTACCATTTCTTAAGCCAGATATTTCTATGAACTGCGAAATAAGTTGTGAAGTTCTTTCCCATTGGCTTGTCACTATCATTTCAATTCAACTATGTTATGTAAATGCTGACCAGTGAGAAAAGATGGGTATCATATTTTCGGAGAAATGTACAGGAAAGCAGTTATCCTGTACATTTCTCCGAAATTTGACAAAAGTTTAGTAATCCTGTTCATGATGTTATAACATACTTTATATTTCTTGGAAAGCCTGTCACATGGTAACGAAAGTATTTATAAGTGGCTGAAGAAGGGGAGAAATGTTTAATCGCATAATCGTACCAACCTTAGGCTTATGATAGTATCATCTCTTACATGCATACATTGCTTAGAAAGCCGGGTTTGCAAAGCATTTACGCTGCATGAATTCAGTATGGCTATGGTAGTTTAGGCATCAATGAAAGTGTATAAGGAAAAGAAAACTCTTTACTTTCAAAGCACATAAAGAAGTCTTAGTAACCATAGTAGGTCTAAAGTAAACCATTTCTAGACATTGCGGGGTATATGGAAATACAGTAAAATAAAGCAAAACATTAGTAAACATTTACGGCTTTCGGATACCTATTCTTTTTACTTAAATTATGAGTAAGTGCAACTAAAATTGCATTTTATTACAATATGTACTATTTTCTGTGTTAATGCTTTTTGGTATACCGCGCTCATAATCGAATAGAAAAGGCGATGCAGCAAAAGTCGCCAAGCGCATAATTCTGTAACGTTTCCTGTTTTAACCAATCGGACCATACCGTCTACGAAAGGGTCTGTAGACTTTGTGAATATGCGTGGGAGTTGAGTAAATTTTTACTGTCACTTATAAAGTGCCCAAGCTCTAAGCCAAGACAGGTGCAAGCCTTGCCTCTTGGCCATGATAAAAATCGTGGACTTGATCTGATGTTACTGGCAAACAATATATGATATAAGTCACAACAATTGTGATGAAATTTAATGGTAAATGCACTTTCTAACGCGGAAACTAGTTTATTCATGTTAACATGTATTGCTTGGTTGAATTTTCTTATGCGTAGATTTTTACTTAATTCATGTAATAATTTTGTTCCGAGTTAAAAATCTTAATGCGTATAAGCTTTACTGTTCATTTCCTTTCGGCGATAGTTGCATTTATATGCATGAAATTGTGGAAATTTATTTAATTTATAACGCTAACAATAGTGTGTAACTAAGCAGAAAGTTGGAAAGCTTAGGCAAAATGTTACATCAAATGTTCTAGCATTCGCTAACGGATTCTTGTGATAAAAATCGGTATGCAAAACAATTAATTGTTCTGTGGTTAAGATATGAATGAAAAAAATATATATTAGACATTCTTGTGGGATAGGAAACATATATAAATACTCAAAAGATGAAGATATACATTTTATTTACAATATAATTATTACACAATTCTATTGACGAATTTATGGGAAACTTTAGTAAACAACCAACAATATGCATATATAAATAACAGCACTTTACAGACTAAAGTGTGCATAACTGATTATAGTGCAACACAAACAAATATTAGTCCTTGCAAAAGCTTGTCGTATAGCATAAATTATTAGTTAGACATTTTTTAAAAAAACTCCTTTGACGAAATTTCTTGGTTTAGGAAAGTATTTTAGAAAGAAAATAATCTTAGAAATTTACCTAAGTTACTTTAAGTAACAAAATCTTGTTCTATTATAGGAGCAAAAAAAAGGCTGTTGCTGAGGGAGGAGGAATGACCATTTGGAAAGTATATGGGGTTTGTCAATGCTAATGGGAAGCTGTTTACTAAGTGGAGAAAAGGCGAAATTGAATATTAACCGCATTCAGGAAGATCGTAATTTGAGAGAAATGAATTTCACGTCAAAGACTCGCTCATTTGTCGGACGATATGAAAAATAAATATGCATGTTTTTAGTCATATTGAATATGTATATGTATACATTAATTTTATAAATATATTTTAAAAATTGGACAAACTTTTGCAAGCAGCCGCTATTTAATTTATATTATTATTCAAAGGTAATAAAGAATTTCATCAAGTTTAATTTTTCTAGATTATACAATTATCTACTTCATTTTGTAATTTTACGTTATAACTTGATATTATTATAAAATTATTATTTCTTGCAGAAAACGACTGAATTTTATTACTTTAAACTGAATGAGATTAAAATGACCTTAATGACATCCTTGCATTTAATGATTAATTTATTTTAAAATTCATATTGCCATTTTTCTTACACAGGAATTCGTTTATATTTTAGAATGATTATTCTTATAGTAATGCCATAAAATAAATATCTGGTGGCCCTAGATAAACCGAACCCAAAGCAAGTTAAGCCTTCCGTATCCAATTCGGTTTATTTTGTGCCAGTCGATATATTAAATATAGGAAGTGGGTAAATTTATGCAAAGGAATTTTAATTATTGGTTTGCCAAATTTAACTAGTGAGTTTATCAAAGGAATGTGAACTTATATCATCATCATAAATGCGGTAAACAATACAACAGTTTATATAAAAATTAAACGTAAAACACAAAACTAGATACATTCTTTAAAAAAAACCTTAAACGGCTGTACAAATAAAACATCAACATAAAAGATGAAAACAATGAAAATGATTATATATATATAAATGATTATATACAGTTATCGAAAGCATATACAAAGGTTTTTCCCTCAGAAAAGCCAAATAGCATCTTTAGCCAAAACAAACAATTTTTATTTTTACGTATGGGAAAACGCAATAAAATTAGGAAAGTAATCAAATATACATTTTTGTATGGTATCATAAAATTAGTTAAAAGGTAAAATAATATACCAGTTAAAAGACAGAAAATAAACATTATTAAAAGACAGAATAAATAAGATTGGTTAATATAAATCTAATTATAAAATTTTGAAGTTACATTTAAAATCAATTGCGATTTAAAATACTAAAATGTTATAAATGAAAGTAAGAATATAATAAAAAAGAAGTAACAAGAATACTGCTAAGGTATACTTTGTACTGAAAATAGTCTTCAAAATATTCTATTAATTTTATTAGTAAAATTTGGACACAAATTTCCAAAATTTCATTTGCAAATAAACCGTTCCCCCCTTTTCCATACAAGTTCTTTTCATCGAGTAAAAGTATGTATTTTAGAATATATGATCTCCATTTACAAATTTGAAATATTTTCAGTATTACATAAAACTCAATAGGGTTTGCAAATCTCTGCAAAATATTCTTGTAAAATTCAGAAATGTCTGATTAAAAGGAAGAAATATAATACACGTAAACTAAACGAAATTTCTTTTGTTTTTTGCTTATGCTCTCTTCTTCATTATAGAGCATATTTTTGGATTACTTCTGAAAATATAGGTAGCAAATATGCGTTAAAGCAAAGTTTTATGAGCTATAAATTGCCTAAAGAATGTGGAAAATTTCGGATATCACAAAAATAATCAGTTACGTACTTATACGTTACATTAAGAACCAGTTACATCAGTACACACAGTAAAAAATAATGACGAACCAAAACATTTATAACCAAAACAAATATCATTACATCGTAAGAGCAAGGTATATAATTAATCAAAAGAGGCTCTTAAATGCAATTATTTTAAAATTTAACTGCAAACGAAACTATATCGTTTAACAATATTAAGGTAAAAATATATAAATTATAAAATTATTTGAATATGAGGTTATTTATTGAAACAAAGTTGACATGAAATGGGCTGTTTAATGCATATACAATTTCAATTAATTCACTCAGATATCATTAAATGACAGGTAGCTCCTCAAATCAAATACAAATTTCCTTTCCCTGGAATAAACCTCAAATTTGACCACAATGGGTTTCTTTCCGAATGTCAGTAACTAGCATACAATGATGCACATTGACTGACAGACTAGTTGTGAAGAAATTGCTTCAAGTACTTCCGCTTAGATTTTTTAGAGACCAGTTTCACGTATAGGTACTGTCATATGCAGACCCTCTGCGTTTAAGTATGCATCACTAAGTTTGCTCTCAAAATCATCATCATTCCCAAAACCATCAGGATCATAATTTGGGTAGGTCAGAGGAACTTGAGAATCAGTATGTGTAGGTGCATGTGTTTCGGCTCGGTGATGTTGGAGTTTAGGGCCCCATTCTGCAGTTGGTTTGCTCAAATTCCCGATTCTCTAAATGAAAGAAGAAAAAATTGAATTAGATTTGAGAAGTGAATTAAATCTACAAGGAGATTTACTATATAATATAGTACTTTGAATGTAAACTATACTTTTGCAGCACTTTTATTTCAAAAGAGCACAGATTTACATTTTCCTTTCATTTTTAAAAACTAGTTTTGATACTTACTTATTAACCGTAAATTGCTCCGAAAACAAAGCACGTCTTGATAACTTCGTTGCAAAACAAAATCCCAAAACATTGTGAAAGCTCCTTCAAGATTAAAAGCCAAAGCGGCATAAAATGCATCAGTTAGTGAACCACCGCACTCAGCTGGGAGAAAACGAAGACTAGGGTGTTAAAATGGAAGATGATAAAGGCCTGAACTGAGGAAGTAAGAAAGATTTCCCTCGAATTGTATGCAAAACAAAGAGTTATGTATAAAAGAGAGATTCATAAAACAAAACTAAAATGTTGAAAGAAGAGGAAACCAACAGAAAAAAATCTTTACGGACCAGTGTACAAAATATGCAACAACAAATTTTTTCATCCGTGCCAAATTGTCATTCCATATTGCATCAACGAAAGCAAAACGCAGAAAGATGCAACAACCTAAAGCATCAACAAAATAATAGATGCTGTATTCCTTCCTGATTTTCCAGATGAAGACTCATCACTCCAGAGTATGAAGAGAAACAACAGCCACCCCCTAGAAACAAGCAACGACATTCGATTCTCTTCCCTTGAAATTTCAAAAATAATCAAAATCCTATGAAACACAAATGAACCTGGTCTGGACGGAATAAACAACGAACTCATCAAGATCCTGAACATGAACTTTCTCTGTCTAATTCCCACACGTAATGAACAAATGTATGTAAACAAGCTTGTTCTCAACATATTTCAATAGGACGGGTACTGTTTTTTAATGAGAAAGATTTGGGCAGATAAAAAGAAATAAAATACGGAATTAGCACTCAACTCTGTTGTTTTTAGACCTTCAAAATGCCTTGGATTCTTCTGCTGGCTAAAGGTTTTAGGCACACTGAAAGACACAAACTATCCAAAAACATCTATGAAATATTTCACTTCACCATCAGATGCAGCATAATTAAAAACTACTAATCCTACAACTAAAATAGTACAAGATAAAGGTTGTCTGCATTAAAAATTGCAGATTTTTTAAACCTGGCTTTTGGCAAAACACAAATGGGCCCACCACTCTAAATATATAAATATATAGCTTTCACGTGCTATGCGGCTTTTGTCATGAGTGGTAGCTCCAGAGACGAATTACAAAGAAATGTAAACAACGCATTAGAAAGTTTCAATTTGTATTCGCATTGAGTTCAATCTGTGGGTGTGCCACTTTGGGCACACCCACAGAATTAAAACGATAAGTGCTATCTTCACAAAATTTTACTTGTGTACTCCTCTAAGCCTAATTAGACTGCCTACCCTCTTTTTTTTTTTTTTTTTTTTTTTTTTTTTTTTTTATCAAATCTCCGACTTTAAAAGGTAGCGTGCCGGAAAGGGTTAACAATGGAAACCTAATGAAAACCTTCTGACTTTATGCGGCCAGACAATACCTACATTGCCAATGGCTAAACAATGAGCGTCTACCACATTTCACCATACAGATATCCATATCCAGTCGATCACCCAAGTAGAACGATTTAGTGCCAGTTACCGATGGCCATTTCCTTTAGAATTTCGCAGTAATGGTTCGCGATTGGCAATCGTTGCCGAAATTTAAGCCAACGGCTGAGGTACGTAGACATCCTCAATTATTTTTTTAAATCCTAATTTTGATAATTTTATTTATTTTAAATGTATTCAAAATAGAGCATTCTCGTTTTAATGTTCAAAATACCGTTTTGGACCAAATTTGACGTTTGATGTCAAATGTTTTAACATTAGACATTCTCTTAGAATGCATTTATCATAATACATTTTCTAGATAAGCTTGCATTTTAGATTTATTTGGTCTTCAAGGCACAAAGTTAATTTATTATTTTAGAGTACAATAACTAAGGAAATTATTTGTGTATTATTTATTAGTAATGATAGTAATAGATTATATTACAAAAGCACTGAACGAGAATTTTTACATTTTAATTAAAATGTGCTCAATTTTTAATTTTGAGTTTTCTGTGCCCGTGCATCAAAATACTTTATTCCAAAACAAATTCTGATGTGCTTAATATAGAAGCTTACATTTTATTTTGCTTTGCAGTTAGTTTACTACATTGAATTTTGAGGCTTTTCGGTTTATCAATTGTATTTCCAACTTCATGTTCAGTTTAAACGAATGAATAAATAAAAATAACAATACTTCAGTATTAATTACAGAACAGATTTTTATCTGTTTTAACTACTACATTTAGTCGAAGATAAGACTGTTCTTAAATTTTAGAATAAATTTTAAGAAATAAAAATGTAGATGAATATTTATCTTGAGAAAGAGAAACTTAGTCTCTCCACACTTTTTCCAGAAGTTTCTTAAAATAACAATTCCTCTAGCAGCATGTAGCCCAAGGACATTGGTATTGATACATTGTTTCTTATTTGTTTTCAGACAAATCACTGGCTAGTGTAGTTGTAAGGTTTTAATTTAAACTAATCAAATTTCTTTTTATTTTTAAGTTACCCTATCCTGTAAATTCTTATTTCAACTTCCCTTCAGAATGAGCGCGCGGTTCAGCTTTATGCTAATTTTGTGTTGGAGCCAAGTTTTGTATTTAAATGTTAGTGAGAAACTTCTCAAGTGTGAGAGAGCTTTAATCTCAGACCACTTCGGCTCGGTGGACGTTCGCCAGATTAGTTAGTATTTAAATTCTTACGCCTTAGCGCTATTACTCTAATACTTATTGAAGTGATTTAAGTGCGTTAGTACTTAGCTAAGGCTTGCTACGCACCATAGATAGGCCAATCTCGCGTTTAAGCTCTGAGAACTGCGACTATTTGAATTTCTACTTAAGCTTTACTTGAAATTGTTTGATTGTTCAGTTTAGACCCAAGCGGGGTCATTGTTTTTCTATTATCACTTCCGAGCTGGGAGTTGCTGTAAATAGTGATTTAAATAAAGGGTCTTTTACACCCTTCTTACGTTGTAGTTCTTCTATCACTCACAAGAACATAGCTGCATTCAGCTCACTGTTCGAAATCAGGACTTTGATACTGTCACTTTTATGTTTGCCAAGAGCATGCATAGAACACTTAGTCCTGACACAGTAAATGCAGAACTAAAATGTAAACGCTCAGCTAAACTTCGCTAATATAATAAGCGACAGTAATGTTTATATAGTGCATTCAGTAATTACCCACGTAAACTATTTAGAATTTAAATATTGTAATTATTCTATATAGTACAGTAATTAAAGTCATTCCTCTCATTTTATAGTTTAATTTATCATGATATCCAATAATAAGACTCTAACAAATCTTGAGAGAAAAAAATTGAGCAAAAAGAGGAAGGTCTTATTGTTTCCTAACTATTTTACTGCGTTCATAAAATTCATTCTTTCTTTTGTGTGTTGCAAAGAACTACATGATAAATTTCTTAAAGAAAATATAATGTAGGGTTTTTTTTCTGGCTGTATGCATCGTTAAGATACCGAAAATATGTAAAATTCGTTGTAAAAGGAAAACATCATGTAGGTTTTTACAATATATTACAAGTTATGTAAGTGTTTTCTCATACATTATTAAGGTGTGATGATTAAATCGGTTTCACTTGAGAAATATTGTTAAACACAGTGTTAGTTTCGTATAGAAAAATTATATAGTTATACTGAAACATACCGCTTTTATAGGACCATCTGCTCTCCAGATTTTTGTAACAGCCACAACAGGAATAGCACTGACGGAGAACAGTGATATTCCCCAACCCAGTCCTGTAGCCCAGCCGGGGAAAATGTAACTTCCATACTCTGTTGGGCGCATATCAATCCAGCTAAATATTAGAATAAACTGAAACAGAAATGACATAAAATTCAGAATATCAGGCGAGCGAAATGCATAACATTTTTACCCATAACCACAAAAATATTTCCATAAATTTTAAATATTTTAAAATTTAAATCTATAAACTGTTTCTTTATTTTCTATCAAAAGTAAGCAATACAACTGCGTCATTTCTTTTCTTAGTGAAAATTTTAAATGCTTTTCGTTTCACAAAATAGGGCCCACCAGCGGCCGAGCGGTAAAGTCGCTGAACACTGGTAGTTCGGTCCGAGGTTCGAATCCCGCGAACGGGCTGGCTGCATGGGCGCTTTCGTGGTTTTCCCCATGTGCAACGTGTATACGAGCCAGTTTCCCTTCGAAAGGCATCCCTTCCCTTAGGCAGTTAGGCCTAGTGTGCTTTGCCATAATTAAATACACCAACACCAACGTTTCACAAAATAACCTAAGCGTTTTAAATTAAATGTGCCTTTTGTTTCCATTCCAGAAGGTAACTAACTGTATTTGAATTTTCAGTGATTTTTTTATTATTGGAGAGTGCTAATTTTGAATTAAAATTTTTCAATAATTTTTTGTATTAGTATGCAATAAAAAAATTTTCATGCGAATGTAAATTGAACACATGCGAAGCGGAATGAATGTATACATGCTTATATCTCTTCGCATATTCCTTTTGGATCCAATTTGTTATTCTTAATGTTTTGTAACAGCTGAATGGCTTAGTAAGAAAACGAAATTTAAGGTATAAAACTATGCTGGTGTTCAAAATAACTTAAATCAATATTTTATGCAAGACTTTTATTTCAAATAAAACTAAGACTTGAAGAAATTAAATACAATGTGAAATAATATATAGATATCTTTGGCAAAAAAAGATATAAGTACATAAGCCGAATGCCTAGAGGATCCACTTTGAGTCTTCAAGCATATTGTATAAGGAATCTCTTTAGAATGTGTTAAAATCTTCCTTAGGCTCGGCATAAAGAAGGGAATATTAAGTGACTTGATTTCTTTCCATTCTTATTCACATTATATGTTTCTATTGCTGGATATTCACTGAGGATTATTATTGAATATTCATCAGTGCTAAATAAAATTTTGAAACGTTTGACGTCAAATGTTTTAGCATTAAACATTCTCTTAGAATGCATTTATCAAAATACATTTTCTAGATAAGCTTACATTTTAGATTTATTTGGTCTTCAAGGCGCAAAGTTAATTTATTATTTTAGAGTACAATAACTAAGGAAATTATTTGCGCATTATTGAATAAGTTTTGTCATTCTACTACAATCAAATTGCAACAGTTTTAGTAAACTTATCACTTTCGTAGTGATTATGATTTCTATTCCTTCTTATAGGTTTTAGTTTAAAAAAACTTTTAAATCTTTTCCAGGATGTTGAGAAAAGGTAAAGACTCTGTTTCTTTAAATACTGATTCTAGGTATGTTTGTTGAGCTACCGAGTTTTTCAAAATAAATAAATGACTTTTTTTTTTAATTTCATCATTTATCGATGGAAGGATTCCATAAATATAATTTATCACTTTTTATAAGGTCGTCATGAAGCAAAAGTTGTAGTCAGTAGAATGACTGATATTGTAATACGTTCATTACAAGAAGTTACACAATTTTCAAAATCTATTACTGGCAAAACATCAAGCTTCGCTGACCCTATTTATAGCACAATTATAAAATTAGAGTTACTTTATATGACAATAATAGGCTACGCATTGGATAAAATAGTATTCTTATTAATTTCTAATTGGCCCCATGAAAATGTGACATATTTATAACATAGCGAATTGTGCTGGCAAAGGTTTTCCTGTAAAGGTTGGAAAATTTTCTATTTAAGTTATAAAGCATATTGCAATTTTCATAAATTTGTATTTTTCTCTGTAGGGATCATATAAAATGACAGACTTACAGTTAGAAAACTGGCTACACTGCAGAAACTAGTTTTATAAAATTGTGTGCTTTATTCTGGGAAACTTTGTAATTAGAATTACACGTCGGGAAACAATATATAAAGAAATAAGGCATATAATCATCTTTCACTTTCGATTCTGTCTGTTAGAACACGGCAGAGTACATAACGGCTTTTTGCCTAAAGAAAGAGATTCCTTTGTAATATACCTTTTAAGGGAAGCTGGTTTTCATTTACATTACATATGGGAAACAACGAAAACATTTAGTCAACATTATTGGCCATGCAGAGGGATTCGAGATCAGATTGAACACTCCTACCTTCCAGCTGTTTAAACCACTCAATTATTAGTGGACACCATTTTTCTTGTATATAAATTATAGACGAATTTTTGAAACGAAATCAACTGAATAAAAGCACTTAATATCATTACTGGACATCATCTTCAAAATTTCGGGGTCCAACAACTAGTTAAAAATGATTTTAAAATCATTAAAATTCAACGATTATTAATTATCGTTAACGAAAAATCTACGTTAAAATTTTAACGCAGATTTTTTTAAATATATGTTAAAATGATTTTTTAACGTAGACTTTTTAACGCTCCTCCATGGTGGTCTGTTGAAAGGGAAAATTATGACATTCTGTCAGTTACAGAAATGCTTAGATCTCCGAAACTACAAAACATGAAGAGTTGATTTATAATTCGTTTGATAGATGAAGGTGTATGCTACAAAATGCAAAAAGAGTTGAGTTTAGAATTATGTTCCAGCCACAGCTGAGTGACAAGGTTAGCAAAAATTACGGGAATTCTGAAGACGACGTATTACGATCAATAACGACGGTAAACTTTATCATAGAATATCACTAACATAAATGTTGAAAGTTTGGTTGCACATTTCAACGATCCTATAACACAATCCTGGCCATTAAAATTGCAACATCAGGAAGGAATGATCTGACGAACGTCAAAATCATATGAGAGGAAAAAGACGTTGGTATATGCAAATAGTTAGTATTTCAACGCATTTAGACGATATAGGAGGGAGAATTGACATATGAAGCACTGTATAAAAAAAGTTGTGTAGTGGATATCTCATTCGGAAAGTGCTTTGTAAGGTTGGAGTTTGCTCAGAATTTCATGTCATGCTTCGAATAAGAAGAGGAAATGCTTGCCAGCAAGTTTCGAAATTCGATAGGGGCAGGATCGTTGCTTATCGAAAGTGTAGATTATCGTTCCGTGATATCTCCGGTCGCACTGGTCGACATACAACCACTGTCATGAGAATATGGAATCAATGGTTTGCTGAGGGTCATACTGAACGGCATGCAGGATCTCAACGTCCTCTCAGACTAACGCCAGAGAGGACAGATATATTGTGAGGTCAGCCCTGCAAAACCGTGCGCCCACATAACGGACCATTAGTTAGGAAATAAGCATGTCTGCAGCACGCCCAGTATCAGCTCGTAAGGTGTGCCGACGTTTGCAGCAGCGTGAACTATCAACAGGCTGATCATTACTTCGGCTTCCCTTGACAATGCAGCATAGAGAGAGACGGCGACTCTGGTGGGCCAAAAGATAAAGCTGGGTACAGAAGAGGCAAAATGTCGTCGTTTCAGACGAGTACCGGTTCTACGTGCAGTATTCTGATGGTCGTATACGTGTCTGGATGTCGGAGGAGACCGCACGTCGCCTGCTTGCATTCGATATCGGCACAGGGGCCCTGCACCTGGTTTGATGGTTTGGGCAGTCATTGCATGCAATGTTGCATGTCGTGTTCTTAGCTTCCTTGATACACAGGGTCTGCACAATCCCCAGATCTGTCACCCATTGAAAACATCTGGTCATTGCTAATTCAGAAGTCAAACAACAAAAATCAGCGTTATACCTACAAAATTTTCACATCTTCCATTGGAGAACTGGATTTTCTAGAGGCATTTCACATTCAAAAAAATCTTTTCTGTTCTAGTTAACGATCCTAATTCCAATCCAAATTTGCCTTCGGCTTTTAGAGAAATTATGTTTTAGTTCTGGTTTCGCCAACAGATGGCGCCACTTGCTTATTCTTGTCCAGGCTTTCTTATCTTATCTAATCATTATTTCCTATCTTGTTCATTTGCGGTTTTGCAGCTGAAGATGATGGTTCGGTAAAACCATCGAAACTAGTCCTGTGAAAATTTTGTAGGTATAACGCTGATTTTTGTTGTTTGACTTCTGAATTAGTATTTGTTCGGCGTGTTATTGTGTCTTAATCTGGTCATTGGTTTCTGAGAGACTAGCCTACCACCCCTTTCCAGCTAATACTGTTAATGAAATGTGGAATAGACTTGAAGAAGCATGGAATGAGTTGCCCATTTCTGTCATCTAAGCCCAGTTTGACTCTATGCCTAGTGGGATAAGGGCAGCTGTTACTACTAATCTCACACCACTGGAAACCTCCAAAATGCTTACAAATTTAATCATTTTGTCTTCCCACCATATTGTTTACGTGCAATAAATATCTTTTTTTGTATTTGCTTCCCTTCATGGTGTTGAAATTTTAATGGCCAACAAGTGTAGATGAAATAGTAAAGCAGTCCGATTTTATTGAGATGTCTGAGACTTGGATGTTTGAAGAGGAATCTATATTAATGTGGAGGGTTGCGAACTGAAAGCACTTACATACATTTATATATGCACTTATATGCTTTATATTGAAAAGTCTTTCTGAAGACAGACAAAGAAAAACCAATGGTATGGCTATCTACAGGAATCTAAAGAGCATTGCCGATTATAATCCCAGTTCTGTTTATTTTAAACCGTAGAAGAAGGAATATTATAATTACAGAACTGTCTCGTTATATATTGGCATCTGTGTATATTCATCCGTCAGTTAATTCAGCGGATTTAAAATTATTTCTCTTTAGTATCCTTATGGCATACTCAGAGTTAAGTTTGCTCATTGACGAAGACTTCGATATAGACTCAGAAGTATAGATTATTATAAAGGGAGATTTTAATGTAGACGCAAAAAGAAATGAAAAGGTATTTGATTTTCTGAAACAGTACTTTAATCTGAACATGGTACCTTCTAATTATCCAAGTACACTTTACAAATCTTACATTGACACGAAATATTACTACACATTTATTGAATTGTGTTTGTTATTCCTCGTATCATCTTTCTATATTGAACAAAATAGTTACGAATAGAAATTGTATACGAACATGAACAAATATTATTTATATTTTGCAACGGAAAATTTCTTCGGAAAAAAAGTGCCGAGCCACGAAATAAACAGTAAGTATACACATTAATCCTTTTAGAACAGACAGCATTCCATCAATTATTTTTCTGAATATCGATCGGAGTTTAATTTTATGAAAATGCTTGGATTGCATGCATGAAATTCTTTGAGCGTGTTTAGATCTCTGGCCCTGAAAACTCGCTTCAAAATCTGTTTCTCCTTATAGCAAAGATCTTTTATTCGATTAGCATATTTAGATTATTTACTGTGCAAACATTGTTTTCATATTTTAATAGTCTAAGACGAATTAATAAATAAAATTTAAACTATATTTAAATTAAGAATAAATGAAAAAAAAAGGATTCAAACAATGGAAAAGTATTCGTTTGGCTAAACTTAAAAGATAGTTGTAGAGTCATTAGGTTTATTTTTCGGAAGCAGGAAAGAGGAAAAATGAGCAACACCTTCGCCGGGAATCGAACCGCGGACCTCTGGAATACGCGCCCAGCGTGCAGAAAATACCACACCACGAATGCATGAAAAGAAGGCGGAAGAAATACCTTATATACTCCCCCTTTTAAAGGGCGACTGGGGTTTTTAGGGGACTCAGTCGCCAAATTCTGGGTGTGGAGAATCATCATCGAACTCCCTTTTAGTTCGGGTGCCACTGTAGAGACATTAGGTTAAATGGAAGCAGGCACGGTAAAAATATGCAACGCCTTCGATGGGAATTGAACCACAGACCTCTGGAATACGCGCCCAGCGTGCAGACCACCACACCACGAAGGCATGGCAAGAGACTGGGAGAAATACCTTATATTCTCCCCCTTTTAAAGGGCGACTGAATCGCTAAGTCCTGGGTGTGGAAAGTCATCATCCACCACCCTTTTATTTCGGGCTCCACATGTAGAGACAGTAGGATTTTTTGGAAGCAAGAGAGATTGAAAAATTAGCAACGCTTTCGTCTGGATTCGAACCGCGGACTTCTGGTATACGCGCCCAGCGAGTAGGCCACCATACCACGAAGGCATGCCAAGAAGGCGGAAGAAATATCTTATATAATAACTTTTGATTAATTGCTGTATGTAACTAAACCTTTGAACTTATAAAGCAACAGTTTCAAGTACTTTAAATGTAATTATTAAAACATGATACTTACAACAATCATAAGTGGGACGACATAACGGTACAACAGTCTCCAGTACTGGTAGGGATAAGGATATTTTCCTAACATAAACTTTATGTCATCTAAAAAGCGTTCAATTCCTGTAAAAATAAATATTGTTAATAAGAGATTTATTTCTTTTCGTTATTAAATGCACAATTAATAGCTATTATATCATACATGATAACACTTGATCTTAAAAAGAATAGCTCAGTGTAAGATTATTTTTTAACGTAATAATATTAAAAATATAGCGTTTTTAATCCTGCTTATTAACAATTCAGAGTTTTTAAATTCCCAGTAAAGTTTTGATGTTTCTACTCATTCAGCTATAATAATCAGTTTTTTAATAGACATCATTTTTTAGGTGATATTAAATTTTATGGGAAATGTATTTAGATAACGAATAAGAAACTAGTGGAAACATCCTGGGTTTTCTGGTGTTTAAATTTAAAGATGTGAAAATTTATAGTTCAAAGTTTATATACTGTATTGGTGGGTTTTATCTCTAAGCTGCTTATTTCCCTTCATATTTCTATACTTATTATCTTAAACGAGTATTCGAAGGGAATAAAAGACAAAAAGTATGCCGTGAATATAATTTACTATATCATTATTAATCATAATAAAATTTTAAAACCGTATCTTTTATTATTATCATAGAATTTTTAGCAATTGGATTGCTGTGACTGCGTGGATTTGATTTTAGAATCGAGAGCTCAATTCACATTAATTGGATTATATGCATTACATGCAAACACTTATGCTGCTTATACTGAACATGAGAAAATGCTTAAATACAAATTTATTTCTTTATCGATAATTAAAAGATTACGATAATATAACGTAAAATTACGTATGTATTGCGAAAACAAAATTTTTATTGCAGTTGCAAAAAAACATCTAATCTTACCATACACCCAAGCTATCACAGTAACTTCTATCAGTCCAATAATCAAAGCTGAAAAACTCGCAGCATAATTGTCCATTAACTGAAGCAAATACATTCCACCCTGTAAAAAATATTTGAGTCAAGTAAAGTGAAGTAGGTGAAACCGATCTGTGAGATAAGTAAATTTAGCAAATAACCTTAATAAATTTGCATTTCTTGTAAGGACTTTGCTATTTATTTACAATTTTAACACACAAAGTGACTGCTACTGTAACTTATCAAAAGTATGACAAAAGTAAATTTATTTACAACAAAATCTTAAAGTCATAAAATCAAAAATAACGGCATAAAATGATCTCAGTTACAGTTAATTAGATGAACTGTAGCTGTAGTTAATGCAAATATTACTAATAATCTCCATGGTATACACACACACCTTTACAGGAGATTATACTTCATTAAAAATTTTTGCTCGAGCTAACAAGATTTCTAAATAAGCAGCTAATAAGATTTCTAAATATTTACTAAATTTATTTCCGAGGAAAAATATCTGATTTAGGAAAAAATATTAGAATAATTGAAGTACGTACTTTAGTACAAATTGGTAAACCCATCGTAAACATAACTATGCAAGACGCAGATAAAATCCAAGCTTTTCGTCGTCTTAATTTATCTGGGTAGGTATCCACAATTGTTGTTACAACGGTTTCAATGATAGTAAACTGAAAGAAATATAAATTTGTGTTAGCTGAATGATGAATAAACAGTTTCTGATGCATTATCAAACACTCAAAAGTTCAAATAATTAATCTTCTAAACACCAATTTACTTCATTTCAGTATCTGTAACACGTAACATTTTGATGTTAAACACTAATTTTGATTTAGTGGAAGCTTTCCACATATTTTACGCCTTTACATTATCTTATGTTATTTATCAAACCTAGCAAATGTTATCATTGAATGATATAAAACCGTTACATGATTTTCTACGTGACCGGTCAGATAGCATGCTTTCAAAGTGTTACCATTCGGTTACAGGCGAAATAGTCGCGGAAAAAAGCGTCGTGGAGACAACAACGGAAGGCGTAAAATCCGTCATACAAAACATCGCAGATAAAAAGAAAGCAAGGAGGAAACCCCCATCGTAGTAGAAAAACGTCGTCGTTGGGAAAACAAAAACTTGCCAAACTTGGTTTAATAACTTGGCAGTTTAAAAACATCGTCGTCGAAAATACCGTGGTAAAAAATAAAGCACCTGCAAATCATCGAATGACAATAACATCGCAGACATGCATCTTCAGGCATTAAAAATTGTAAATGCATAATCGCATAATAATCTGTGAGCGCAAGAAGGAATGAGGAGCATTTTTGCTTTTATATTTTTGAATTCATTAATAAATGTTCGCTAAAAAGTAAGAAAAATGTGAGCTCGTCTGCGATGTGTTTGCCGCAATGTTTTAAGCGGACACCTACCATTCGACGTTGATACATGCTCTTTTATCTTCTAAATCATGCCAACTTAATAAGCAGAATGATTTGAAAGCAACAAACCCATATCTTAATGTTTTAAATCTTTATTTTCTCTTTTTAATAATGTTCATCTAACTGGTATAATTTAGAAAGCCTCCAATTGGAAATTTTGAATATTCACAGCATTATCATAATTATTAAGAAATGAATATAACATCTTATATTGGTTTTGGCATAGAATCGTTTGAGTTTTAAAATCGTAAATATATTTCTATTTTTTATGATTACTGAAAATAATTTGAGTTTTGTAGTTTACGAACTCGTTTTTTTCCTTACTTGTTACGAAATCAAATGAGATTACAAACTTGTGAAACTGAAATAAACTGTATTTTTCAGTTCATACATTGAATTAGACAACTTCTCTGTAAATTAATGAGTATAAAAATACTCTAGATAATTAAATGAGACCATCATAAGCGTCATTTGATATTTAAGACATGATTTCTTGAACGTTTTCGTTGGACTGAAGATTGATAATGAATTTTTTCAGCTTTACAACTGAAAATTTTTACATGTGATTTCTATCTTGTAATAAATTGTACTCATTTAAATTTAGCATTTGCTCCTCTACCCAGAAATTTGTGACAGGTCCCTTAAAATAACCAAAATTATCCATAAAGTAAATTATTAATATTTAACACGTATTCTGTCTTGTAGTCAGCTTACAGGAAGTGTTATAACATGCACTTCTTTATGCTTAAAGAAAAATATTATGAATGTTTTCCCATTTAATATGAATACTTTTGTTTTTATTTAATATCTCCAATGATCATAGTAGGAATATAGTAGTAGTATCCAGTGTATCCAGTGATCACAGTAGGAATAATTTTAAGGAAGAATTTTTTTCTTTCTTTTTCTACTTTTTTCTTTTCGCTCTCCCTCTTTTTTAATTGCGTTTGAATTTTGTAGAACCCAGAGGAATCTGATGGTGAAGAATCCTCGAAAAATCGCTGATCATAATCTTGCTCGGTGTAGAGTTTGGAATTAAAGAACAAAATTGAGCTCCTATGACTATTACATTACTATAATACACAGAAGAATGTCTGTAATTTACAAAAATCTGCATTTTATAAAACTGGATTAGTACAAATGTTGACAGAAATGTGTATATTATATTATTCATGCAACAATTTTAGACCTTAATTATTATAACCAATTCATCGTTTTAACGTTTCAAACACATATGGGTTTAAATTGTACAGCTGGCAGTCATAATTAATATGCCTACTTTACATAGAAAGATGTTATATCGTATTATTTATTCCGGAAATTAATTATTCATTTAGACAAGGAAGCTCATTTAAGAATATTGTAAGGTATATTTTAATTTTATAACTGTTATTTTAATTTAGTGAACCTTTCCCCTCTTATCTCGTTTCTACTTACAGCTCCCTACCAAAATGAGTTTTCAGAAACGCGTTGAATGCAAATGAGGAAGAGATAGTATTAAAAGAAAGTTCAACTGACTTCGAGAGAGAGAGAGTTAGGAATCCTGACTAGCGCGCGTTTGCGTTTGGGCTACGTCTCTCTAAGCTGTTGGTACGATCGGCCGTATTATTATGTGCCTTTTGATAGTTCGCCAGCTAGTTCAAGATTACGGCCCAACTACATTAGAATTGTGTTAGCTTCGACTGACTCTCTTAGTTAGTCATAGTTAGTTCTTACTTCTTACTTTTGAGTTTAAGCCCAAGGGGATGCTTTGCTGTAAACCCAAAGAAAGGGGCCGACTATTAAACTTATTTTGAGTGAATAAAGGGTAATTAACCCTTCTTGAGTTTATGATTTCTATTTTCTAAGCGATAATTCGCTTAACAGTTCACAAGGTTCCTCGGCACTTCATTTAGCAGAATAAAAGTGAGGAACTCTATAATATAGTAAGCCTAGGAGATATAGCAAGTCTAGAAGGAGATATAGGAAGTCTAGAAGTCAAAACGTAATTTTAACAACTGCCATTTACAGTTCTTATTAACATCAACTCTCTCTTCTTCGGAATAATTTAATCCCTCCTAATACTTGTTTTTAAGTGAATAAAACCATTTTCTAATGCCGTTACTTTAAAAAATGTTTCTGGCATTAGACACAGTTATTCCGTTTTTTTTTTCTTTCTAGAACAAGTATATGGATACGTTTAAAAATATTTTACTACATATGACTTGCTTTGTTCATTTTGATTCGAGAAAGCACTCGAGGGCTACCTCACAAAGGAAAGGAATGTCTTCGAGGACATCTTTTCAGGGAAGCTGGCTTGTATTCCCGTTACACATGGCGAAAACCACAAAAACTCCCATGCATCCACTCCGTTCGCCGATTTGAGCCCGTGCCGAATTAGTACTCAGCCACGGGAGGAGGGTGTCTGGTATATATGATATAGCTTTTATATCTGAGCAACGTAAAAGTTGTTAAGAATGTGTTGTAGCCATTTGCTGGTTCTATATTACTTCATTTTTTACCATTTTATAAACTCAGTAAAATCATTACAACATTTCAGTTAAATTGTAAGATTTTTAATTTTACCTGTGTTCCAAGTCCCAGCGTCATAAGCATAAGGAAGAACAGAAATGACCAAAGAGGGGAGATGGGCAGTTTGGACACTGCTTCAGGGTATGCGACAAATGCTAATCCAGCACCTTCAAGGAAAACAATAACAGATAAAAACGATTGAACCAATAAGAACTCTTAAAATATATAGCATTTATAGGGCAATTAAACCAGGGAAGCATGATTATTACTGGAAACGATATTAAAACTATTTTATATGCATAAAAGTGGACAGCAATATATAACAGTACATTTTGTGCTGCCGAGCAGTTTAAATTTTAGTAACACTGTGGATTTGTAGAAAATATTCAATTTTTCTTTATCTGGATGAGACCTTTAAATGGCTCAGTTACAGTATTCTCTTACTTAACAATAACGCAGGTTCGTTAGCTAGGAAAACTACATGCATATAACGAAATACTATAAATATAAAATCATTCAATTTTATCAGAGAAATAAATAAATTTTAATAATAAACAAACAAATTTATTCCTTCAGCACTTTCATTTACAAATAAGACTTGTTAAGTAACAGTAATAAAAGTCATGAATGTGCGTGATGACTACTAGAATACTTCTTCGGTAGTTTTATTTTCCTTCCCTTCTTAGTTTAAATACGTTTCATTCACAAATATTAAATATGAATTTGATTAACTAGTTAGTCATGCATTTTAAAAAAAAATATTTGCATTAAATTTCTTATTTAATACAATAAGTACCTTGCATTTCTCTATTTTATTTCTTATATATGAACAGTTATACTCCGACGTAGGCAAACTCTAAATTTTTTATTTTCACTGGATAATCTCAAAATGAAATATCAAAACAACTTGAAGTGTGTCTGGAAGAAAATTTGTCCATTGTTTTCCAAAAGCGAGAGGAAAACGAAGGCAGAAACTGTTTACGTCTCTTACGTAATAGAAGAAATTGTCAATCTATCAATCTTATCTGGGAACTAAATTTGGAAGTTGTTAGTGATAACATCAGTGAGTTGTTGGACATGAGTCTATAATAAATAGGTTTATTGAAGAAGCTAACACGTGAGATTCAGATCCAGAAAAGCATAAGATAATTGCAAGTTTGACAAAAGATGAAGCTGGAGAAGTTCTGCTTTTGGTTTGGTTGATTTGATTATGGTAAAACAATGATTAAGAGAGGGATGCCTTCGTAGAGGATTTTCTGAGGGAAACTGCCTCTTATACGCGTTACACAAAAGGAAGACCATGAAAACGGCTATGCAGCCAGCCCGTTCGCGGGATTCTAATCTCGGACCGAACTACTACTTTTCAGCGACTTTACCGCTTGGCCACTGGGGGGGGATTAAATGAGAAAAGGATTACAGATTTGGGAGAACATAGACTCTAGTGAGTAACACGTTCTGCTACAAGGCAAAGAATCAAAAACGTATTAGCCAGCTATGAAGAAACTTTACGTGATAAAAAAAGTCATTGAGGTGACAGACGAGTTTCTTAAATTTTATGAAGGCATCAACATCGAAATTTATGTAAAAATATTCTTTAGTGCTACTTCGGATTGATATGTATGAAAAGTATATTTTCTGTTACATACGTTTCCTCTAAATATGTGTTTGCCCTTAGCCTTATATAAGTAAAATTCGTATGTATTTATGTGCAAAGTTAGACCTAACTAACACGTCTTTGACTTATACCCTTTTTGTTAATCTCCCTTTATCACGTAATTTCTGGGTACTGAAAGATACTGAAAAATAAAGATTGAACAACAGCGTATAGAATTATTTATCACAGATACCGTGATTTTTTAACGCCTCAAGGCTTTTCTTAAATTTTTCTTTTTTCCATTTTATATGTATTAGCAGTTAACATTCCGTTCCATTTTGTACAATTCACTGTCATAAGTCAAGCAACTTAATTTTTTGTAAACATGAGCAAAGAACTAATCATTCCGTAAATTCTTGATGTGATTTACGGGCACCAATCATAGACGCTTTCATGTTTCCAATTCAAAGAACATATGAAGTCTAAACGTTGAGTAGAGAAATTTATTGTCAGCAAGTGCATGCAATTTTATACATAATCTTTTAACAGTTCATCTTCTTATCATATACATACCTTGAGCTGCTACTTCATTCACAGGAACTCCAAGTTCATGAGCCATAAACCCAACAATACTGAAAATCACAAAGCCAGCAAAAAAACTGGTACCACAGTTCCCGAAAGCAATAAACAAAGCATCTCTGCAAGACAAAATAAATAAACCTAGTTATTAATTAAATAATGAAATGAAAAATAAAAATAATTAAACTCAACTATCATTTGTTGGATGTGATACTGACGGTAGTGGCTATATTATTGATGCTTAGAATTACGTGCATTTACAACACAGTCATGTGCGAGAAACAACATGTGTACACAGGAGAATTCCTTGGAATTTTAAACTGTAAGCCATTTATATTTAAAGCAACTAATAAATGTCCTTTTAAAACCAAATGGTCTAGTTTAACTATGAATTATTATATTCATAAAAACGTAAAATTTCTAATTATTGGGTGATCCAAACTTCACACTCATAAAATTTTCCAAAATTTTTGAAATTCCAAAATGGTGTCAATGTTCAATGCATATTGTTTAGTAAGGTTTATCTTAAGTTTTTAACAGTTATCTTTAGTCAAAGCCACTTTCCTATTCCTTCTTATTTCAGCTTACAAATTTACTGCCAGAGTGTGTTTTTAAAATCGCGGTTAAATGCAAATGAAGGAAGAGCAGCACTTAAGTTCCAATGACTTCGTTAGAGAGCCAGAGATTCTGACTAGCGCGCGTTCGCCTTTTGGATACACTCTCTCTAAGCTATTACTACGGTCGGCCTTATTTCAGGCCCTTGATAGCTTCGCTGTTTAGTTAACATTTAGTGGCCAACTCATGTAGAATTCTGATAGCTTTGGCTATATCCTTTTTAATTAAGCATTAGTTAAGTTTGATTTTTCTTAGTACTCTTGAGTTCAAGCCCAAGTGGAGGTTTTTCTGTACGTCCTGAGAAAGGGCCATGTGTTAATCTTTATTTTGAGCAATAAACGGTAATTCACCCTTCTTGAGTTCACGTTTTCGGTTCTTGAGCTAAAGTGATTATTCGCTTACCAGCTCTTAAGGTTCCATACACTTAGCTGTAACTTTAATGTTGGAACCTTATAGTTTCATTGGATGACACACCTATGCTGTTGCATCATACATCACATGAAATTTCAGTTGCAATTAGTTTTATAAACCATCTGTTTGGTGCAAGATGGAGATGAGTACTTCCCAAGCAGAACGAACTTTTTATGATTGAGCATTATTTTGCAACAGCTTCTTAAGGAAAAGTTGCTGAAACTTTTAAAGAGATCTTCTTAAATGTTCCTTAATCTAACAAGATCGATTTTCCCCTCGGTAATCTGATTTTAAGAAAGTAGAAACGTTCAATAAATAAAGTGGGTATCCGTCTTTTCTGAGCTCTCACGAAATGAACAAAGTCAGAAATAAAATGCTGTAATCTCCAACAAAGAGAGTGACATCGCAATCCAATGTATGCAATGCGAAGTAATGCTCAATCATAAAAATTCGTTCATCTTGAGAAAACTCCTCCCCATCTATAAAGCTAACAGCATGAACTGCAACTAAATTTCATGTGATATATTACTTGTAATAGGATTGGGATTGTAACAGGTTACATTGAAACAATTTGTCTTTAATACACATTCTGGAGTTCCCAAAATTTTCGAAAGATCGATGCGCGCTACTTCTGGATCATCCGACATTGTGATGATTATGACAGTTATTAATTTGATAACTAATTTTTCCTTTGCAATGTGCATTTTATTTATCATATGAGATGCAATAATAAGACATCATTTTTTTCTTCTAAGCTGTGATGGGCTGAAAATTATCAGAGCACTACTTAAAGAAGCATAAGATTATTTATAGTCTCTCTCTCTCTATATATATATTAATAATTCTACTTAACCATAAACATCGTATTTTCTTACCTAAAGCAGTTATTATGAAAACGATTGTAACTTGCCAGAGTGATTAAACCGCCCCAACAAGGAGACAGAGAGAAAAATATCTGCATTGCTGCGTCTCCCCAAACCTGGAAAATATAAAGAATATAGAAATTTTAAAAACAAAATGTTTAGAATGGTCTATAAACAAAATGAAAATCGTAAAAAATTATTCGGAACGGATATTTACAAAATATTTAAATACGTTATGTAAAAATGCTTTTATAATTAATACTGGAATGAAATATCGGATAATATTTACAGCTTCAAGATTCAAAGAGTTTGTGATCTAAAATCATTTATTGTATAAATAATAGTATTAATTTGTATGAGTGATAAACAGGAAGAAAATTTATGACTTAGTAAGCATGGTCTGTGATTATTTCCTGCATTTAGATTCGAGGATGTGCTGAAGCAATAAATACGAGGAGGCATTAAATTGGAATCATTAACTTGTGTCGATTCCCCTCAACTCCTGCTCTGCTGTTTCATCGCGGCGAGGGTGTGTAAATGGGTGAAATGGTTGAAGTTCGTCGGTCTACTGGTAGGGTCATCTTAGACGTGAAGGATATTCCATTAAGCCCAACTAAGGCTACCAGATGAAGCCTTAGAGAAAAGTCAGACTTCTACCTCGGGTACTCCAGGTTTTATGACCCACAGAAGGTGTAACACTTCCCCCCCCTTTATCATGAGTCCAATTTCTTTCGATTTTCAGACTGCATCGCCCGGGGACTGGAATTAGGGGGGCGTTCCTGGTTTAAGCAAAGGGTCAGGTCCATCAAGTGTACTACAGTCTCTGCAGTCTAAAGAAAAATCTCTTAAAATAATTCAATGCGGTATCAATGGATTCTCAACTCTGAAATTAACTTATACTTTCCTTATTAGATCAATTTTGGAATATGGTTGTCCTATTTATTTCTGTGCTGCAGATTCTAATCTCAATGGGCTGGACAGATTCCAAGTTAGGGCAGCAAGTATCATTTCTGGCTTGGGGTATAGCTGTTCTGACGATATTGCTCTGATTGCCATTGAGTACGAGAAGTAACTCCTGCCTTGTGAAATATTATAATATGATTCTCAGTTATGGTGACCAGAATAGAAGCTCTTCCTTTCTGAAGAACTGTTCCAAAGACTGAAGCCAACAACCGAAGATTGAAGAGAAACACTCTCTTTTATCAAGGAATTTTGCAAAATATTTAACTTTGTTCCCCCTTGATAGATTGAACGTCAATCTATCCCGTGCTTTACTCTGTCTGTGACTTTAGTGGCATCCACTTCCACTCTGAACTTTTGAACCAAGCTCATAAAAATGCTGACAACTTTGAATTCATCTGACAGATGGCCCTTGAAACTATCAATCAAGTAACTAAAGATGCTTTTCAGATATATACATGTGGCAGCACGAGTGATCAATGCCATTCTGGTAGTCGTATCTTCATCAGGACCCCTACTTCTACTTTTAGACTTAAAAAAATATATAAATTCAGATCCTTGCTCTGTGTTCGGATCTGAGCTCATCGCTATCGAAAGAGGCCTGATCTGTATTGAGAATATTGTTGAACTTGATTTTGTCGATGTTTGGATCTGAACTGACAGCCATTTTTCAGTTCAACATCCAAGTGACTGGGCAAAGGTTAAGGACAGGGTTGGCATATCTATCCTGAACTTATTTTCTAGGCTTTCGGTTAATTCGAGGATCACATCCAATGGGTTTCCTCACATGTGGACATTAGTAGCAACGAGATTGCGGATTACCTGACAAAGGCTGCTGCTTTAAAAACTCCCCAGTCAGATAAGCTTTGCACTAATAGTGAGGTGTTCTCTGAGCGTTTGAAATCACTTAAGGATCTCTAGAATGTCCCTCCAGTACATGACTGAAACTCGAAAGTTCGCCTCTGGGGTATCCTATTTTTGGGGTGTCATAGAAGTCGTCAGACTTACATATCACGTTTTGCTAGTAGATACTTGAAGAGTCTCTCCTGTGAACAAGAGTAGAAGGTTTTTAAGATCTCCACCAAGTATAGAGCTGCTCAGGCATCACCTGATCATATTTTATTTTGTCTTGATTTTACCTTGGACGAGGTTTTTTTTTAGAACATCTTCTCTTTTTAGATTTTTGGGAAGTTTTAGGATTCATGGATTTGGTCAAACAGGACTGGACTACTTCGGGGATTAGAAAAAACAACTTGTCTCCACTATTTACATAATTATCTCAATGCTATCAAAGTAAAATGAAACAAACTAGAAGACTCTAATTTTCCTTACGTTTTCTGTTAGCTCATACAAGAAACTAACTTACTGTTTAACTTTTAATTTTGCTGTGTTAACCTAGTATCAGCTTTGCATTTATTATTGAATAAAGCATTTACATGTATTTTATTTCTCGTAACTTCAAAATTAAGTTACGCTGGATTTAAGTTGACATTGTGGAATATCACAAACGGAAAAAGATTTATTTTGGGAATTTTAATTACAACTCCTTGATTAATACAAGATTCGATTTGAAAGTTAGAAATATGAAGAGTCATAAATTCACTTAAATTGCAATAATCTACTTAAAATTATAAATATGCAAGTTTATTGCACTTGACTTGAAATGACATAACATATTCCCAACTAAACTCTTAAATAAATCACAGAAACAAAAATAAAAACTAACAATCAACAGTGCAGGCTGATCCTTTTTAAATTCATAAACCATTCAAAACAGAGTGGGGATGAGGGCTGTATGATTGAAACTAACTATCTCTATCAGTAAATTAAAAAGAAAGACTGAAATAGACACTCGACGGTTTATACTGCGAGGGACTAATCATCAGAATTAAAGTCAAATATCCGTGGAGCATATCCTTTGACCTTCAGTTAGAGAATGACATCCAAAATTCGCACAGCCAGTCATCCTTTTCTTTTGCATATCTTTGTACACCATTTAAAAGGTATGTTTTAGATGATTGGCTTGCTGCGAATAATCCTTGAGAAAAAGGAATCTTAACGAACGGAAGGTAAGTTTGAATACTAAAGTAACCATCATGAAGTTAAAAATAGCAAGTCTTACCCCGTTTATAAGATTAAGATTTTAGGGAGTTTGCAGCTTGGGTTCGTACTTATAAGTATCTTAGAAGTTTCGTGTTTTTTTTAGATTATAAACTAGTAATTTAATTTCGATTAATTTTTCTCTCTAGTTTAAATTTTCTACTTGAGTGGTAAAAATGTATATTTAAACTCAATATCTTTAAATCTGATTCATTTAATGAATGTTGTTTTAGTCCTTTCTTCTTAAAGCCTGTTTAAAGAAAGTGGCGAGAATTCTCGTTTAAAACTTTATATAATATAAATGAGGAATGTTTAGAAAGCTAGCCATCACGTATTCAAGAAATTAGCTAAAATTAGAACATTAATAACTGATAACATTAAATTATATTTGGCCTTCAATAAAAACTGGCTCGATACATTTGAATGTACGATGGCAGGGGTCTGGGTTCTTTAGATGTACATTATTCTGCATTTAAGTAACACTTTATGTCTAATATTCAATATTTAACATAATTTGTTATAAAAAAGTCAAATAAATGTCAAAAATGCTCTAAATTTAGAACAAACTGTATACGAAAAAAAATTACCGTAACAGCAATAAATATGAATATATAAGATATATACAAACATATGCTATCTAAATGTGTCACTTTATAAAAAGATGAGTGTACGTGAGTTAAGAGTTTCGGCATTTAATAACCAGACTTTAAAAACTTTGTATAAACATGAAACTCTACTTACACGAGCTTCCTTTAATCTGTACCATTCCGGAGTAAGATAAAACATAATGCCTTCTGTAGACCCGTTCAGAGTAAGACCACGAATCAAAAGGATTGTAAGAACCACGTACGGAAATAATGCAGTGAAATAAACCGCCTGTAAAATATTAGAAAATAATAACAAATAAGTTTCACAACTAAAGTATTTATTGATATCGATCAAAATCATATATATTATTTAGAAGTGCAATAATCATTGCTACAGCCCAAGAATTTATAAAAATAAAAGACTGTCTCAAATTCCTTAGATCACATGCAAGTATTGAAAGCCTTTAAATGAGTTCAGTTATGATCATGTAAGTTAAAACAGTGAATAATATAATTATTAATTTATTGCACAAAACTACAAGCGATTACTCCAGTCTCATAAAATAATATATTCATTTACGGTTGACAGTCACAAAGCATTCAAATGTTTCGTTTGAATATAATACATCTGTTTGTGGCGTAGCAAAAGTAGGATTATTAGAACTCGGTGTATAGCATCAAATCTAATTCCACAGGCAAAGGAATTATATCTATATTTAAAAAAAATCTGGCTTACATTTTGCATTAAATTTGGAATGTAAGAAAATATAAAAAACGATACATATGCGAATAAAAAGAGGAACATTTCTTTCAAAATTTATAAACATTCAAGAAAAATTGCATCGTGAATACTTTCTGAGCTTTTGTTTGTAGTGTATGGTAAACTTACACTTTAATGTATCAACAGCATTTGCATGAAAGAAATTTTCCTTGTAGGATTCAAGCCTTAATAATTTAGATTAAAGTTTATACATAACTTTAGTCTATCTTTTGCTCTTTTTAACAAATCTTGAACTTAATTCCAATCCAGATTTTTAGGGAAAATAATTTTTATGTTCTTGTCATAAACATACCTTAACGAAAAACTTTGATTATCTCCGATCATAAAAAAAAATTATTATCTCAGATCATTTTCTTATACAATCGCATTTAAACACAGCATGTATCTTTCGTAACAGGGAATAAAATTTGATAGCCACCCAACCGAGACAGTAGTTAGCGATGCTGACTGCGGTAACGAAGAGCCCGGGTTCGAATTACGGAGAAGACATGGATGTTTGTAAATGTGTAGTGTCTGTGCGGCACAGAGGCACTCTAAATATGAGAAGAGCCGAAAGTCCTCTCGAGAGGCTGTTGGTAAAGGAAGGGGTGGGAGACCCTAGAACACGTCCCCTTGGGGTGATGTCCATCAAATCTGGGGGCGGAACTGTCGCAAAACTGAAACCAAAGTCGTACTGTATGATGCTCAAGGCTCTTCGCAACGACAGACTCAATCTTGCATTCCTTGCCACGATAACTTTCATGGGATTCTAATTTCCAGTTTTCCAAGAAAGACAGCGGTGGCTCTAGTTAGACACACTAGACACGGTGGCTCTAGACGAGACCACTTCATAAAATTGGAGTGGTGGATTCCACAAATTGTGTATTGTGCGACTCCAATCAGCCTATGATTTTTGAACACTTAAATAACTGTACTGCACTCTCTCGGTATGAGAACGTTGTTAAAAAGTACTGAAGAGTCCGTCAAATAATGGCTTAAGCTCTAATGTTTAGAATTTGTAAAATAAAAATGAATGCTTACTGCCCTATCCTATTACTTGCTGCGCTTGTTTAACTATTAATTTTTTCTTGTTATCAACACCCGTTTCAAGTACTTCCAGTACTGCATTATCTAAAATAAGTTATGTGTTTTTTCTTGTAGGGTACTGTGTGACAGAAATGATTATACCACTCATTCAGCTCATTCATTGCAGCATGAATTATCAGGAAGTGTTATAAAAAATAAACTTACTTTTCCCATGCTTTTGACGCCTTTCAGCAAGCATAGGAAAACGAATACCCAGCACGCAAGCAGACAAGATGCAAGTTCCCAACGCATTCCTCCCAAGTCATGCAATCCTTCTGTTATGTCCAGTACAAAATTACTGAAAAAAAGGAAAGAAAATCTCAGTCATACTATTCCATTACGTATTGAAAGGCCTTATTGCAGAACATATATAGAATAAATCAATCACTATTCTTGCAACAGAGAAGGTATAGGTTAAGTCATTATAACACTATAACACCTGTAGGACAGAATATGTTGAATTGTTTTACTTACACAGCTTTAATATAATTATTTCAGTTCGAAACATATTTGAATTACTTGCTGTGGCAATAATTAATATGACTGTGTGTTATAAATTCCGAGCTGTAGAACGCATGGGTGCTGCACTTTTACGCATGATTTTGTACAGAAACATTTTGAAAGCAATTACGGGGAATATCGTAGAGTAATTAAATATACATAAAATTGTGATTAATTAAAAAACATCAGTTAAAGGGCGAAATTATGTACTTCTAAAATTTAAAATACTTTGAAATCCAGTTTAAAGAAATGTGTTAAAGTATTTGAAACACCTTCCATAATTTAAAATTTTTTAAAGGTTAGAAATTTGTAACACTATCTCGATTAAGAGCAAAGTGCAAAAGCTATTTATCAGTTAGAAGATACACTTCTGGCCATTAAAATTGCAACACCAGGAAGGAATAATCCGACGATCGTCAAAATCACATGAAAGGAAGAAGTTGGGATATGCAAATGATTAGTATTTCAGCGCATTTAGACGACGCAGGAGGGAGAAACGACATCTGAAGCACCGAATAAACGAAAAGTTGTGTAGCGGACTTCCCATTCGAAAGGGCTTTATAAGGTTGGATTTTGCTCAGAATATCGTATTTGCCTCTAATAAGATGAGAAAATGTTTGCCAACAAGTCTCGAAATTCAATAGAGGCAGCATCGTTGCATATCAAATGTGAAGATTATCGGTCCGTGATATCGCCGGTCGCACAGGTAGACATGCAACCACTGTCATGAGAATATGGAATCAATGGATTGCTGAGGGTCATACTGAACGGCATGCAGGATCTTAACTCCCTCCCATAACTAACGCCCGAGAGGATAGACGTATTGTGAGGTCAGACCTGCAAAACCGTAAGACCACATCACGGACCATTAGTCAAGGAAAGGACATGTTTGCAGCATGCCCAGTCTCAGCTGGTAAGGTGCGTCGACGTATGCAGCAGCGTGGGCTATCAATAGGGTAACCATTTCTTCGACTTCCCTTGACAATGCAGTATAGGGGGTGGACGGCGACTCTGGTGCGCCAGACGACAAAGTTGGGTACAGGAGCGGCACAATGTCGCCTTTTCAAACGCGTCCCGGTTTTACGTGCATGTCGCCATTCTGATGGCCGTATACGTGTCTGGAGTCTGCAAAACCATAAGACGACATCACATTAGACAGGAAATGGGCATGTTTGCAGCATGCCCATTATCAGCTCGTAAGGTTTGCCGATGTTTGCAGCAGCGTGGACTATCAGCACGGTGACCATTACTTCGACCTCCCTTGACAATGCAGCACAGAGAGAGACGGTGACTATGGTACGCCAGACGATAAAACTATACAGAAGTGGCAAAATGTCGCCTTTTGAGACGAGTCCTGTTTCTACGTGCAGTATTCTGATGGCCGTATACGTATCTGGAGTGTCCGAGGAGACCGCACGTCACCTGCTTGCATTCGATATCGGCATACGGGCACTATACCTGCTGTGACGGTTTGGGCAGCCATTAGGTACACGACACGCACATCTCCAGTTCGGCAGGAATTTGGACGCAGATGGGTACATTTCTGACATCATACGTCCAGTGGTTGTGCACTATTTTCGAGGCCTCCGAACGCCATGCTCCAAACAAGATAATTCAAGACCACATGTTGCACGTCGTGTTCTGACCTTCCTCGATGCACATGGTATTCGATTGCTGCCCTGGCCTGCACGGTCTCCAGATCTGTCACCCATTGGAAAACCTGGTCATGGGTTGCTGAGAGGCTGGGCCGCTGCTTCTCTTCAGTTAATGCGGTTGAGGAAGTGCGACATAGACTTGAAGCAGCATGGAATGTGTTGCCCATTTCTGTCATCCAAGCCCAGTTTGTCTGCCTGCCTAATGGATTTTAAGGGCCGTTTCAGCTGCCAGAGGTGGCAGCTGTTTCTACTAATTTCGCACCCCTGTAAACTTCCAAAATGCTTGCAAATTTAATCACTTTGTCTTCATGTCATACCGTTTTCGTGCAATAAATATCTTTTATGTATTTGCTTTCCTTAATGGTGTTGAAATAATAATGGCTAGCAGAGTAGATATTTCAGTAGTCTTTATTTATTTATTTATTAATAATTTTACCTTGAGTAAAAATAAATGTTTTAAATCCACAGGTATTTTAAATAAAGATTGAAGGTCAAAACGTTTACTTTAGAAAGTAAAACTACGCACGAAAATCATGTTCTTGTCATACTTTGAGCTGCTTCTTTTTATATATTAAGGAATTCAAAAGATAAGCAAAACATTCCTTTCGCATAACGGTTTGCTATCGTAATGTCCAGCATATTACTCGAAATTGAACTAGTAAATTTTGATCACTTAAAACAGTTTGTTTTTTTCATTACGAATTGATTCATGAAACTTTTACCATTTGTAATAATGACAGATATTTAAAGCATGTTGTGAAATTTTGATTACATTCAGATAGATGGTTATTTACTTCAGCGGTCTGAAATTTTGAGAAACCGTTCTATTAGGCAAGATATCAAATAAATCAGATAAAGATATAATTTTTGTGGAAAGAAATATCAACATTTAATCCAGATGTTTTATACTTACTGAAAATATTCGTCGCTTGCCATTTTCGTCTTTGATACTGAATTTTCAAGACTTAGCCATGTATCATTTGATACCTGATGTCTGAAAACACAGGTACCGTTTTCGGTTATGATTCCATGCAAAGCAGTACAGTTTTTTGTGTCGAATTTTTGACAAGCTAAAACGAAAATTTAAGTAAAACTCTGGAGAATAGCCATAACATAATAAAATAACTCAGTATTATAAACTAATCATTGAAAAACATACGAAAATGAACGCAAAATGTTTCTTCTAAATCATTAAATTATATATAGTGTGCAGATCTTGAACACAGAATCATGTTTAAATTGGGTTTGAGTGAAAGTTAATGACAATGTGAAGAATGCATTACCTCCGATTAAGCAGGTTAAAAAGGCTAATGCTACTCAGATCGTTACTACTGCAGAAGTTATTAATGTTCGCAGTAAAATCACTTTTCAGGAGGAGAGGAACTCTTGCACTTGAATCCAGTAAAAAGCTTAAGGTGTTTCTGCGATAGTCCGTTAAAGTAGAATTCTTTGAAAAATAGATTTTACGGCTTAGTCAATGAACTTTATCGGCCCACGTCCTCTCCTCAATAGAAAGGTGAACATGCAATACTCAGCCGTCATAACTGGTGAAGCTGTAGTATAGAGGTAGAGCTGGTGAAGCTGGGTTATTTGAATACAATTTAAAGCGCCCAAGAACTCTTTCCTTAAGGGAAGGGATTCGTTCAGGTAGAACTTTCTAAGAGTAAAATTAGGTTAGGTTACTTGAATCTAGCAAAGCACATATGGGATATCTGCCTAAGGAAAGGGATGAATTCGGAGGGCACTTTTTAAAGAAAATTAGCTTATATTCATGTTGCACATGTCGAAAGTCAATCTTACAACCAGTCCATTCACCTGCGTTTGAAGTCAGGTCAGACTACCAGTATTCAGTAGGGTCGATCTTCTAAGGGATACTGACTGGCATTTACGTTGCGCATGGAGAAAAGTACTTGGGCAGCTAGCTCATTCACTGGGATTTCGAACCCAAATCATACTACCAGTGATCAGAGATCTTAACCACTCGGCTGCCATTAGTGGGACCAATGCAATCATATAATTTTGAAATAGAAAAGTCATTCAGGTAACTTCTTCATAGAATAATTGAATCGTCAGATTCCCATCCTTTGTTGTGGATGTAAGACTGGCTCCGATGTACGATTTCGATTACTACCTTTACTATGTTAAAAAAAAGGGGGGGGAAGCTAAAGAAACTCGGTTAATAATTTCAGTTTCCTTTTTTTTCGGGGGGGGGGTATATAATCCAAATGGAGAAGAGATTTATTCAAGGAAATTTCCAAATTATAATGAATTTTAAATTTTACACTTTCCCTTTTTCCTATTATAAATTTGAAATTCAATTCGAATTTATAATATGAAGAGGAAAAGAATAAAATTTAAAATTTGCATGAGTCTTAAGATTCATAAGAACATGCATAAGACTTATATAAAAGTATTTAAAGAGTATAAGATCATATATTAAGACGTTAAAGAAAGTAATAAAGACTATGAAAACTGCAAACTTTGCAGCAAAAACTGCTAATGTTCTGGCCAAACATAAATGCCAAACGCTGCCAAACATAAATGCCATACGCTGCCAAACATAAATTAAAAATAAACAAAAAATAAATAAAAAAAAAACGAAAATATTTGCTTATTTTTTTAAATTCATACAATAAATCAGAGTTTAAATTAGTCGAATGAAGAGTGAATGACCTGTGCTGCCATCTGTCGCTATATATCGTTATTATTCATTGTTCTTAAATTAATTTCAATACTACCTATTTTATCATAAAAAAATTAATTTTCGATGGAAACTTATAAAAATAAGCATATGTATAGCAGATAGAGCTTACCAATAGTATTCCACCAATTATCGCAAGAGCTCCATGGTAAAATGCTGCTCAATGAAGAAATAAGGTAGAAAAGTGCCCAGGCCAAAATCATATTATAGTATACACCCACCAGTGTAGACATTAAGAACATAGCATATCCAAGACCTAAAAATAAACAATAATCAGGAAAAGGGGCAAAATTCTTTTTTTTTTTTTTTTAATGTATGTAACAAAAATTAAATGTTCATACTGGAGCCGCAAGCAGATATTACAGATTTAATAACAAATTTACTTCAGAACAACAGATGCAGAACGTAATGAACTTAGTAAGAGAAAACAGCAGTGGTTCATTTTCTCGATGACTTCCTTTGAATATCATTAATAGAGAGGGAAAAGAAATTAAAAATAATTTAGCGGAAGTTACAAGAAAGTCATTGTGAATGAAAAATTAAAATTACTAACTTTCATGTAACATTTTAACTTGCAGTAATGATGTTCTTAAGATGCAGAACTAGTGTTTATATGAAAAACGCATGTCATTATATGGACGCAAGCAGATATACAATTAATAGATGAAAAGATAAGAACGTAATGAAACAAGTAAGAGTGAATGTAAAATTAAAATTACATACTTTTTGTACCAATGAGGAGAAATTGAAGAAACAAGCGGAATACAAGCGAATTTGTACTGAAAAAATTTGAAAAAACAAATTATTGTTCATAATGCAACCATTTTAAGCTGCAGTAATGAAAAAAAAAATCAAGAAACAAAAATGTTTTTGCTGAAGAAACAAACAATGTTTTGTAATATTTAGCGGAAGTTACAAAAAAATCATTGTGAATGAAAAATTCAAATTACTAACTTTCATGTAAAATTTTTACTTGCAATAATGATGTTCGAGCTGAAGAAGCAAACAATGTTTTGTAATTTTACTTTTTCAACGTGTATAGATCTAAGGTCCAGAGCAATGTTTTTTCAACTTATCTACCTTTGCGTAATCCTTGGTCAGCGGTTCTCAATCTTTTGACTAACGCGTACTACCGAAACAAAATTGAAAACCTTAGTACCCATCACTACATTTTACAATGATTATTTTTCAGTTTTTAAAGAGAAATAATAATAAAAAAAAATATCTGAAAGATTTCAGACTATATTACGCCCAAAGGGACCTTTTTAACGTTTTGTGTGTGACCTTTATTTATTAAATATCATGTTCTTCGCTCTTAAACCATAAAATTCAATTCAACAGCAATATCGCAAAATATTTAAAAGACCATATCTTTAGAATTTCCGATACGCAGTCTCGCGCGCTGGATATTAATTTTTTTTCCCGTACAGTGTTGCCATTGCTCGCTTTAAGATCGTTGAGTTTGTTAATCAAAAATTCATTAAAGTTTTGCAAAATTTGAAATAGATAATAAAACAAATTCGAAATTAAAAATTCGGGCTTCCAAGTAGCGATGTTCAGCCAAGACAACGTTATTAAAACGAAGGAATACAAAGCAACAAGACGACAAAATACCTACTGTTAGAGATAGCAAACCGATGTATTCTCATTGAAAATAGAACAATATGAGTTCGGAAATGGCGACATAAATTGCTGAAATGTCAATAAATCGGTAAACTCTAAGAGAATTAACGAGATACTGTTATCTTTTTTATAGGAACTAATTTTTACTTCCTATTAAATACAGCATCCATTTGCATCACTCCTTTTAAAAACATCATTTATGGCAAATTTTGTAATGTCTACGGCTAAAAGAATATTTGTGAAACGTACAACATGGAAAAACCACGAAAACTGCCATGCAGACTCTCTTGCTAAAGTCTATAAGCGACTATTGACCTTGAACAAAGCTCAGATCGCATATATTTACGAATGTTAGAGAAAAAACTCAATCAAGGCGTTGAGGTTTTAATTTTTTAATTTAATAATTAAAAATACTTTGCCTTTTTTGCGTACCACCTATTTTTCTCCTGCGTATCAACCGTGGTACGCGTACTACCGGTTGAGAACCCCCTGTCCAGAGCAATGTATTTTCAACCTATGTACCCCTTGCGTAACCCTTGATATATAATATGTTTGTATAAAAGGGCGAAAAGAAATTTTTTTAATAACATTTAAAAAAAAAAATTAAAGATTAACCTATTTGTGGATAAACTGTGTAGGGCAGTAAATTGCCTATATATATATTTCATGCATATACTATATATGTATCAAGGAACTTTTAGAGAAATATTTTATGGGATTAGTAACACCTTTTCATATGATTAGCTTATTCATCAGCGTTTTGAAGGCTGCGAAGGACTGTGAAGGATGTGCGCAGTTTATTCTGGAAAAAAATACTCTTACTCCGCAATAAATTGAGAAGGGTTTCGATGAAACGCGATTGAGAAATGTCGGAAACCTTGAGAAAACATTTTCTTCCTTTGAAGGGATTTTACATACAATATTAATATGTGCTGTTTACTATTTTTTAAAGGTACAGTAAAATCTATTTATTATTTTTGAAAACTCTTTTCTTGAAGGCGAAAGCTTATCTGTATTTATAAAATAGAGCGAGCGAGAGAAGTAAAAAAACAAATAAATGTACTAACAACGTTAGAGAAATACACATGCAGTTTTAATGGTTTGTAACATTAAAAATATTACTTTAATATTTAAATGAAAATAAATGATTGCATTAGGAACAGAAAGTTATTTAAAAATGTGTTATTTGATTGTATTAACTGCAGCTGTTTGCACTCCATATATCCGGAACTTCAGTTATCCGAATAGTTTACTCTTCTTTCTAATCCAAGTTAAATTAAGCTCGCTAATTTATTCAAGTGCTTCTAGATTTCATTTTAATAATTAAATTTGAATTTCATAACATTTATTGCATTATTACTTTTATTATTTTGAGTCAAAAATTTTGCTACACTTTTAGTTGAATAGAAATAAATTTGTTTATTTCCTGTTATGAAAATTACATTGCGCATTAATTAAATTTTAATTAATTGAGACGGGAATAAAATTAACTATTCAGCTTTAAGGCCTATGCAAGTAAATTTTAATTTCACACTTTTTTTTCCAATGGCCGATTATGAACAATTACAAATCCAACCCAGTCCATTAAAATCTGTACAAGTCCGGATGTGGTGGTCTCTTTATTATGGGGGCACCTAATAGGTGGGCCACCATCGCCTTTCCTATGAAGGGACGGAAAATTATAACGATGCCTTCTCCGGGATTCGAACCCACGCCCTTCAGCATCACAGTCAGCTTCCCTGGCCACCATACCCACTGGCTGGCATTAATGTCATAGCTTTATCTAGTTCAAACTGTGTATTAAAGTAAGCAAAGAATTATTTTATTTTGAGATTCTGTGGAAAAAAAAATATATATATATCCTTTTTATTTTATGCAAAATTTTTCTCAGTATTTTTGATTATATAAGTTGTGTTAAAGCAAAATATAAAATTAAATTACCGTAAATACGTTGCCATAATGATGTAGTACATTAGAAAAGTAGATGTAGTAGAAAGGCATTCTTTCTGTAAATACTTGGGGTACAGTTGTTAACATATTCTGACCTAATACTGAACCCTCAAGTTCGATTTCCTGCGAAGGCATGGAGAATTTTATTCAGCTCTAAATCTCATAAGGAATCTTCTCCAAATCTCAGAAAGGAGGGAGAAAATATCGGTTAATGTTCGGATTACGGTTTGCTGTCTACATAAACACAACTTGGCGATTTTTTGGAGAAAATTTGGCGACAACCCTGCTACAGAAACCTGCTAGTTTTTTTTTTTTTTTTTTTTTCCATCAATCTGCTAGCCGAATTACGCTTATGCTAGAACTTTTATGGAACAAAGGTGCTTAATCATGACGAAGATTAGGTGCGAAATTGGGAGGAAGTGCAGAATCGTCCACTGCTTGCCGCGTTTTTAAGAACTGCACATACACGGTATCCATGTACACGTCGACCTATTTTTGCTTAAAAAAAATCCCAGAATTGCACAAAAATGACATTGCGCACACTCTTGACTTTATCCATGTACACTGCTAAAGTCCTAGCAATTAACCTTTATCGCCTTACCAAAATGTCGCCGAGCTACCTGTTACCATATTCCAAAGATTAGCCAAAATATCTTATAGTATATTGATGATATGTTTGTTTTATGGGACAAACCTATTAATGATTTACCGGATTTTCTTTCAACACTGAATAATTCAGATAATAACATACAATTTATATAGAAAGCCAAACTTTTCCTTTCTTGTACGTGTTTGCTACGAAATTTGGAAATGAGTTTTCGACAAATTGTTTTCAGTAAACGGTTTGCTGTGTACATAAACACAATATTGCGGCCTTTTACAGCATCATGCTATTTATTTGCACATTCCTTCTGCTACTTTAGCAAAAGGATTCAACATTCTGAAAAGTATTGAAGCTTTACGTTGGTTATCCTTCTACCATAAATGACACTGCATTTAAGAAACCTTATTTCAGTTTCCAGTTCAACAAATCTCTTCCAACTTTCAAAGCAAGGATACTTCATTTCCATCCATTTTCTGCCATGCATCCCTATACTTAGCTCTCTCTTTCTCATATATTTCAAACAGTATGGTTTTATAGTTTCTTTTAAACATATCAATAAAATCAGGTTTTCATTTATATAATATAACATATGGAAACTTCACGTGGAGCCATAAGGAGTTTATTAAATACTTTGTCAATGTGATCTTGCCTATATAGAAAAAACATGCAGATTTTAAAAATTCAAGATGAAGGAGCATATTAGGTACATGAAACGAAAGGAAGTCAAGGGTCTTTAATTGCTTTCCATTGTTGAGATAAAAACCACAGTGTTTGTATTTTGGAAACCCAAATTATTACTCTTATTAATGTGCCTTTCAACTTGAATTTCGTAGACTGACCTTGAAATAAAGGTGAAATCTTCCAGATTGTGATAGGTCCTTCACTGGCGTACTGTCCAAATGCAAGCTCCAGGAAAAATAAAGGAAGTCCCACAAACACCAACATTATAGCATAAGGAATGAGAAAAGCTCCTGTGGAAAAAAAAATATTAAATCATGATTACATATATGGAACTAATTATTAATGTCATGAAAAACTGACAGTAGTTTAAAAAACTTAATTTAAAACCTAACTTAATTTCTTTTGTTATCTTTTTTATGGTATTACAAATCTCTCCCTGATGTTTATGTACTTTGCATAAACGAATGACATTCGTCCGCGCTTTGACTGATTGTCAGTTAGTTATGACTAAGGACTGAAGACTACCTGGCAAAGGAAAGGCACCCTTTCGTCAGGAATACTTTAAGGGAAGCTTCTTCATATTAACAATACATATTGAAAATTCCGAAAATCTACCCAGTCAGCATTTTCAACTGCAAAATGCCTAAGATCTGTCGATTATCCTGCTATATTTGGATCTAATAAGATCAAAACAAAGGCTGACCCTGAATATTTATCCTTAAGCATTTTTGGACTTCCCAGAAATTCTCTGATTTTTCGTATAGGGCTCTGATCATATTCTCCGCCAAACCAGAGGCTAAACCTGCAAAACAACTTACAGTTTGCTTTGACTTCTATTCCTTCCAATTTGCTTGTATTTACGTTACACATGAGGTTTTCCTCCCGTGCAACGTAAATACAAGCAGATTTCTTTCTTTCTTTTTTTTCCATGAGAGTATCCTGCAGGTTGACCGCCCTAGCGCATTTTACATAAATCTAATAATCCAATCCAATCCAGTCCAATCTGTTCTCAGAATGTATATCTGTCACTAATATTCTCAGAAATTTCCTCCAAAGATAACTAAATTATCTCCAAAGTTGCCTATGTAAGAGTTCTTCCTCGCAATCTTCCCAAACTATAACCGTATCCTAAAGTTTATCTAGAGCTAATTAAATTATCTCAAAAGTCGTCTATTTAAAAGTTTTCCCTTTTCATCTCCTCACAGTATAACCATATCCTTTCGTTGAAGTAAAGGAAAATTTTCTTTTACCTTACATTTGCAAATTTAGGGTAAGAAATACAGCACAAATGCTATTCATATTCTTTGGATTTTCATCTTCGGTTTTTATTTTTATAAAACTACGGCTAAAAAATTTATGTATGAAATTTACACAGATTAAATCATAAAACGGATTATTTTTTTGGCATTAATTAAAACATAATTTTAGTGATGTAGAGTACTAAACGTGAAAGGAAAACTTACCTCCCCCATTTCTGTAACAAAGGTATGGGAACCTCCAGATGTTACCAAGCCCTACAGCGTAACTCAGACATGACAGTAAGAATTCAGCTCCGGTGGACCAATTTCCCCTTTCTTTATTTTCATCCGTAGTAGGTTCAAGATTCTTGCTATTCCCCATACGATCAGGAATAGAAGGTGGCATAGTAATGACTTTCGGTGGTAATAACTGCAATAAATGGAATTTCAAATATTCAACAATAAATACATTTATTCAAAATAATGAAAAATAACACAACTAAATGTAATTTGAAATAATAAAGTGCGCAGATCAGTATCGAATTATTTATTTTCAAAATCACCGATAAATTATCAAAGACCCTTTAATTTTATATATAATAAATAACACAGGAGAATGAAAATAAATCTAGAAAGAAAGCTGTTTCAGTGTTCGACTTTTATGATTCAGTTTAAAGCTTCAAATTCCCAACAAATAACACTATACAGGTTTCCCTGCTTCAAGAAAGGTTTACATAACTATTTTTAATCCTCCGAATGCTATTAACTTTTTTCTCTCCTGTTACATAATTTCGGTGAAACTTAAGTTGAACTACGCACGATGTTTGGTCGGAAAGTTAAAAAAATTGTAGCAAAAATTAAAAAAAAAAAGGAATAAAATAAAAATAAATAAAAACATTAAAAATGAATAATAAACAATAAAAGTCCTTTTTGGAAACATTCTCTTCCCTTCATCAATTTCTTGGACAAATATGTATATATAATTAAGAAATAATAATTAAATCATAAAGGAGTTTTAATAGTCTAACAGGAAGTAGATACATAAACCTGAAATAGAAACAAAATAATTCAATAAAATAATATAACAAAAATATCGCAAACTGATGAAAATTTCTTGGTCTTTTATAAGGAGTTGCCGAAGAAATTTCAACAGGGCCATATTTCTGAGTTATATCTGGAGAATTACTAATTCTTGAAATAATTCAAAAGAAAGTGCACCAAAATTAATTTAATTAAAATTATAAATCAAGTCTGTCAAAAGTGCAATAAAATAAAATATATTATATATATATATATAAATTATGAATCAGTCATACAGGCATATATATATATATCTTTGACAGCTTTGCTTGATATCTAAAAACATTTCTTGCTTATAAGACTTTTGACGCTAACTTTACATTGATTCAAGCGTAAAAGTTTCTCAGCTTGGTGAAAAACCAACTCTGTGTATCATTCCTTGGCCTTGGCCGTGAAGGTTAAATATTTGCTCATCTGTTCTTCCAGTGCCACGATTATTATCAAGGAATTTTAAGAATAATTCATTCAAATAGATTCTGATGCAATTAGATAATCTTTATTGCACATATAATCCGTCATTTATATTTCCATTCAACCTCCTCACGTGATGAATTGTCAATAGTCATTAAACGAATTTTAATTGATAAACTTACAGCCAAAAAGATGAGATTTTCAAGCTTTCTTTTTCACCGATTGGCAAAGAGCATATGGTAACTAAATGGTAATTTGCTATTAAATGCCTACTTTTTAAATCTTTTACAAGCTTTCATTATTCAGTCAACTATGAGCAAATTGTCTGAAGATTAAGATTTTCATTAAAAGTGCTAAACTAAATTTTATCTCCTGTGTCAATGTTTAAGAAAAGCATTTGTAATTTTTAAAATAATTTCATTCGGATGGCATACTAAACATTGGTTTTCATTAAGGTCATAATTTTAAAAATTATTCTAAATCAGAATGTTTGTAAGAAATCAAATGAACATTACTGTAACTTTTGTGCTCCGAGAGCAAAGAATTTCACGAATTTCCAAAAATAGTGTTTAATATAGCTCTCATTTTCATTTTATTTTCCGAATTCAAAATAGGCACCAATGCGAGAAACTATCGGATAATTTTTCGACTGGAAATTCCGGGACTGTATAAAATAACTGCTGTCTGACTACGAAAAATCAGTCAAGTTATTTAAAATGCAGTCCCTATATAGCTAACATTGCATCTAAAACTTTTATTAAAAACATTGGATTTCTAGTAATCATCATAATGGAATTTAATGCTAAATTTCCTTCTCAATTCATTGTTTAACACTAAATTTTCTTGTCATTAATTCTTTTAGAGAATAATATTCAAGACCAGTGTTAATTTACTTATCCTCCATTAACAGTGGAGAGTAGCCCAAAATAAACTAAACCCAAAACAAGAACACAGGAACTATAAGGCGATATTATATAAGGTCGTTCAAAATAAACTATAACGGACAAGGGAGACTTCAGTTGCTTTGAGTTAGGTTTATCTTTGGCCATGCAAAAAAAAAAAAAAAAAAAAAAAGTGTGGGGGGGACAGTCCTATATCTCCCGTTCTCCTGGTCAGTTTGACGAAATTTAATTTTCATTTTTCATGACTCGAAAGCGCGACTTACGATATATATTAGATTTATATATAACATTGTTCTAACATAGGTATTCTGAAACAAAATCGGACCTTTTCTGAAATGACATACCGATTATTTTTTCCTTATTTCGATTCTACGACTCAAATTATATCCAAATATTGAATTTTGTAAAATTTGGCGAGAAACTTGCCGAGAAATTAAAACTTTATTTTGGGGCACTTTTCTCAATTTGCGCCAAGAATAATTCTCTTAGCGAAATTCTTAATTTACAGCAACCTATTTTCCTTTCTCTTTTTTTTACTGTGCACGAGCGGAAAAAAAATGGTCAATCGTTTATAATTTCAAATAATTTTAACAGAGTGCGCAAAGCACATTTGGCGTTATTATCGTTTATAACTAATATGCCAAATTTCAAAACACGCTAATGTATAAATTCCTGCATATCTCTGGAAATTTTGAATAAAAAACTCTAATTTTTTGCAGTTATGTCTAAAAAGACAACTTCTTTAAGATGATAGAAAATTTTGATAGGTTATAATCCAAACATTTTTTTCGAAAAATTTATAAAAATTATTAAAAAATACAATTTTTTAAAACAAATCAGAAAATAGCTGCGAATGTTATTTCGAGCTGTGAAAGAAGGAATCAAGTAAGTTTAATAAAAAAGAGATATTAGTAAATGTACACCAAAATCAATTAACATTGAGCAGCGAAAATTTAAAGTGCTAATTGTTTAGTAAACAAAATATATGTAAGTCTCAATAAATCTTTAATTATCTCTAATAAATTAATCAAGTCTCGAATAATTTGATAAATCTAATAAATAAAGGAATGTCGAAATAGTAAATGAAAACTAAGAATATTGAAAATAATAAAGATAACAGTTCTAGTATTTCTGGCAAGAAGGGTGATCAAAATCAAAGTCTATAGTAAATCAGACTGGATCGAATTTAAAGTAATAAACAGACAGCGTTATTCTACGCAACGTTTATTGACGAACACCAAAGACTAACTGATGCTACATATACATAATTATGACATTGCAGTTTTTTTTACAAACACTACCGTCATCTATTGGCAAACTGAATTTACATAATCACAAACACACACACGCACACACACACATATATATATTGCTTATTACGTGCTCCGCCCTTGGGTACTACACGGAAAGGGAGGGATGCCCCGTGGAGGTCTTTTTAAGGGAAACTGGCTCGTATCCACGTTACACATAGGGAAAACCACGAAAACACCCATGCAGCCACCCCGTTCGCCGGGACTCGAACCGCGGACCAAACTACCAGTGTTCAGCGGCTTTTACCTCTCGGCCGCTGGTGGGCGCAAACATATATTTAACATTTAAAAACTACTAGGGCCATATTTATTAAATTTGGAAGTTTGGCATAATTTGAATCGTAGAATCGAAATAGGGAAAACAATCGGTAATTCATTTCGAAAAACGTCCAATTTTGTGTCAGAATACCAACGTTACAACAATGCTATATATAAATCTAATATAACATCCTAACTCGCGCTTGAAAAACTCAAGTTAAATTTCGTCAGTCGGCCCAGTAGAACGGGAGATACAGAACTGTCCTCCCTTTTTTCTCTTTTCTTTCTTTTTTGTAGATGTAGGGAAAAAAAAGTAAAAAAGAAAATTTGAAATGTTGCAGATTTTAAATTACGTCCAGATTGCGTTTTTCATGTCTCGTAAGCGCGACTGAAGACATGTATTAGATTTATAAGTGATATATAAGTGAAGATATATAAGTGAATTTATATATTGGCGCGTTTTGAAATTTCGCATATTTGTTGAAAGCGATAAAACATCAAATGTGGTTTAGACACTTTGTTAAAATTATTTGAAAGTAGAAATGATGTGACTTTTCCCCCTTTGTGTACAATATAAAAAGGGAAAGGAAAATAGGTTGCCATAAATTAATACGTTGACCAAGTGATGTCGCAAACTGAAAAAAATACACCAAGAATAAATTTTTGAATTTCTCCGCAAATTTCGCACCAAATTTTATAAAATTTAGTATTTAGGCATAATTTGAATCGTAGAATGGAAATATGAAAAAAAAAAAATTGGCATGTCATTTCAGAAAAAGTTCGATTTTGTGTCAAAATCCCTATGTTAGAACAATGCTATATATAAATCTAATATATATCCCAGGTTGCGCTTTCGAGACATGAAAAACGCAATATGAATTTCGTTATTGCCCCAGCAGAACGGGAGATCTAGAACTGTCCCATTTTTATTTATTTATTTATTTTGCGCAGTGTACATTCCTCATTTAAAATGCTCTCGGAAAACTAATATCACGGGTGTGAAACTTGAAATAATTAAATTTGGCTATTAGAGAGACAAACAGACATAACAGAAATGTATAGCATAGCCTATAACAGAAATCAATGAAGTGACGTCATTCGATAGAACTTAGTTCATGCTGTAGTACAGACGGACTTAAAAGTATCTTTTGATTATTAAATCGTATGTAGAAGCATTAGGTATTTTTTTAAACTGACAGAGGTGAAAAATGAGCAATGCCCTCGCCGGAATTCGAACCACGAACCTCTCGAATACGCGTCGAGCTTACTGACCACTACACCACGAAGGCATGCTAAGAAGGCGAGAAAAATACCTTACAAGTATACTGACTAAATGACTTTTCAGCAAAGAAGTTTGGTTTTCTTTGATTGGAAATAGATCTGTATCATTTCACGACCACCTAATTTGCTAGATTTCTCCTCTCTGATTAACTCTCGTTAAGATGAATCTACGGGATCAAAGTTTTAAA